GCTGTCAAATTGCGTAGCTGCCCCGTCATCATCGCTCTACCCCCTTAACTCCTCTTCAGTTCTGCTCTCTGTCAAATATTCGTGCCAGAATTGTTCTCCTTTCTGAAATACCTGTGTCCTTTGAATCTACACCATCTCTTATTCTCAAATTTCAATCACTGAATTGCATTATGTATAATTAGTTACACATACACACACCCCTTAGATATTTTCAATTTGTCTTGATGTGAAGATTTTTCAATATTCATGTGTTTGTGAATTTTGTGCTCTTTCTCTTGTTTCAACTTCATTTTCCATTCTGTAAAACAGACATCTGGCCTCAGCTATTTCCATCCTAGTTGAGAACCAAATTCTGTTTTAAACCAGAGGAAGGGAATTTCAATCCTTGACCTCCAGGATTCCAGAGAGACCCCCCTCCCCTTCAGTATTACGCTCCTCCACATTTGAAGGCTCCTGTCTATGCCTAGTCTGAGAAGCTATGATAAGATTCAAAAAGGTTCTGGCCCCATGCCAGGGATGGTATGGAGGAGCTGGTGGCTAAGAGTCCTGAAATGGAACTATTCAAGGTCTGGCCAAGTTGTTTGAAGAAATAGGAAAGGGGATTGGGAAGGGCAATATCTAAAGAAAAAAATAGTTTTTAAGGAAGAGAAGGCCAATTTTATTTAAGTGAAAGGTGAACTGAGGGATGAACAGGGCCTTTCCAATTAGGTTAAAGTTATCCTATCAAATACAGTTAATTCTAAGTTTTTTTCATGACCTTTTTCTGAGCAGGTGTAGAGCATTATAGAAGACCACTGGACTGGAAGGTAGGCTGACTTCTAGTTCTGGCTCTGTGAATGTGCTGCTGTGAACTCACTGGCTAGCCCTGCCACACTGCTGGGTTGTTTTCTACCTGTAGAATGGAAGAACTGGTGAAGGTAATCTCAAAGTTCTTTCCCACTTCTACACAAACCTATAATTTTGATAATCGTTTGTGTTTAATATGTACCTGTATCTCCTCTTTAAAGACGTGTCTCTCCAGGCCCTGACTGACTGACAAATTTTTAATCTCCAATAGGAGGGATGTCAAACTAAATAGGGACTTGGCTTCTGAAGAACTCCTGGGAGCTTCACAAAGTCAAAAGTGCTACTTAAGGCAGAGAGACCAAATACATGGTCTTTTTCTCCAAAGAAGCATGCTCAAGTCACCGGGCTTTCTTCAAAAAGGCATCATATATATATGTGTAGCTGAGATATTATCAGAAAGTAGTTCTTGTGGAGAAGGTATTATTAAATTTAATTTCTCTACATATTTGTAAGGGTTACCAAGTTGTTCCTTATATGAAGAATTTAGTGCCTATTTCTAGAAAATGTATTCAGCAATTATTTATTGATCCTTTCTTTGTGACAGCCACTGTTTTAGGCAGGTGATACAGTATTGAACAAAGAAGAAAGGGTACTTATATCATGAACTTAAATTTTATATTTATTAAATGCTATCAATATTAGAACTAGTATAAGTAAAATAGAGCCTGGAGGCTAAATGGATGTTTTGATCAGTTACTTCTTAATTCTTTAGAGATGACTCACCTGTCAGTTAGCTGAATAACCATGTCCAACTACCTACTCCATTTTCCAAACCCCACTGCCACATCCGTTAGTCATAAGCTTAAAGTCTTAACTTCATATCAGTGATTATTTTTCCTACAGCTTTATTATTACTTTCTATCCTCCCAGTCAAAACATACCTAAAACAATGAATGAAAACCCAAGTAAAGTTCATACTTTTAGTTGTTCATAATTCATGAAGACAAGGCTTTTGGTTTAAACCAAAACAAGCAACAAAAGCAAAGATGTTCTTCCTCTTTCTTTGGACTTCTGTCCTGCCTCTTCTTTAGACATGCTACTATTCTGACCCCACCACATTGATTACATTCATAGTTACACATTCTGTACTGTGATTGTCCCATTTTGTAATGATTAAGAATCATAAATAGATTAAATTATACATTACAAATGGAAATTTTGAGTCTTTAGGCTAAGCGGGTGATGTAGTGTGGAACTTTCTGTTTAAAAAAACTTAACTATCATTCAAACTCCAAAACAAACACCATTTCATCAGCACTAACCTAATATTAATGGGAATTTCCAAATCTGACAAATTAATTCCGAGACCTTAATTGTTTTTGTAAGATAAAATACCCACTTTCATGATTAGTTTTCTGAAGTATTGAGTTTATATGTTCTTAGTTTAATAAGATAAAACATGTAACCTTAAGCAGCCAACATGATTCTTCAGCTTCAATTTTATTTCACCAAAGACACTGAATCAGATGGTGAGCTTAGTAAGTCATCAAGCATCTTCTGCTCAGCAGAGTAGAGGTCACTGCCTTGAAATCTTCCAGGCATGACTTGGTACTAACTCCAAAATGTTCCCCAGATTCAATTTCCCTCCAAAATCCCTTGTCCCTATGCCCCTATGGCCTGAATGATTTAAATATGGATGAGAAGTCCACGGATAGTAATATGAATGAATTGAAAATAGTTCTCAGAGAAAATGCTAAAAAGAATATATCTTAGTTTAATAAGATAAAACATGTAACCTTAAGCAGCCAACATGATTCTTCAGCTTCAATTTTATTTCACCAAAGACACTGAATCAGATGGTGAGCTTAGTAAGTCATCAAGCATCTTCTGCTCAGCAGAGTAGAGGTCACTGCCTTGAAATCTTCCAGGCATGACTTGGTACTAACTCCAAAATGTTCCCCAGATTCAATTTCCCTCCAAAATCCCTTGTCCCTATGCCCCTATGGCCTGAATGATTTAAATATGGATGAGAAGTCCACGGATAGTAATATGAATGAATTGAAAATAGTTCTCAGAGAAAATGCTAAAAAGAATATTAAGAACATCTAGATGAGAGAAGGTAGAAGACTGTAAAATCTGAGAGGCAACAAAAATAATTGCTTATTGAGGAAATAGGAAAGGAATGAAACCTACTTGTATCCATCTGCTATACTCAAAGTATTATCTCTTATATCCCATTGCACTTTGTTGGCTTTATTTACTTGACCACTTATTATGTCTCTCTTGTATCTCACTACAACGTTACTAACCTTGCTCACTCGGAAATGGACAGGACCACCAGAACATTTTCCTTATAGTTATTTCATAGTTCCCAGAATTCACTCCAAATAGCCAACCCTGGTCAAACATTGAAGTAACAGATGTTTTGTCAATTATCTGGATGGAATGGCCCAAGAAGTTTCAACTCCATGATAGTTTTACACCAAGTCCAAGAAGCTAAATAAGGACCCTTTACTAATTTAGCTATATTCCCCCCTTAATAATCTCATCTGTGGATGAATTTCTGGCAGTTTGTGAAAATGGCTGATTAGATGAGAGAAGTATTAGAGTCCTTTACTTCCTCAGCTGGTTTGTCTTCTCATAAATTTGAGTCAATCCTTTACAAACATTCTTTTTTTTTTTTGCTTTTTTTATTGAAGTATAATTGATAATCTTAAATTGGTTTCAAGTATATTCAAACATTCTTAATAAACCATCCCTTCAATCCTCCACTCTGTTTTATCAAAAAAACTGAACATATGTAATGAAAAATATTTCAAAATCAAGGGGACTGTTTAAGAGCTCTAAAAAACTCAAAATCAACTATTGTTACTTCAATTTTTGGACTACATAATTTGTTTCTTTTGGCTGCAGATACTATTATTAAAAAGTTTTTTCTAATGTCAAAATAAACTCTTCTATTAACATTTATTTAATACAATATTATATTTGATCATATACATATACTATAATAAGCTTAAACTCAATGTTTCACATTTACATTGTTCAGTTTTACCATTGTAAGATTTGAACATTTTTGTGCCAAAACTTTTTCTTTATAAATGGAATTCCACTAGGGTATTAGTGAACCAAATGGTGTGGATTTAAGATTACTGGTGCATGATTCCAAATGTTTTCTTTAATGTTTGAATCAGTCTATATTTCCTTCAGCAATGTATGAAGGTGCCTATTCCCTGAGACTTTGTCAGACTTTATATTGTAAAAACAGTTTTCTAATTTAATAGGAAAACAATAGTATTACATTTTATCTTGTTTCTTGGAATGTTTAAGAAAGAAAAGTACACATATAATTACTAGCATCATATATACATATTATTGTAAAATGTAAATTATATAATATATAATTCAATAAATATACATATGCATATAAATTAATGTAAATATACACATTAAATGTATATATAGAGATATTACTAACATATATATATATATACACATATGTATTCATATATTAGTTTATATCTCTCTTCATGTCATTTGTCCACATATCTATTAGGTCTTGGAGGTTTTATCGAATAGTTTGAAACCTTTTTTGTATTAAGAAGACATCAACCTTTGTCTCTCTATATCATTTCAAATTCAAGTATGATTTATGTGTTGATTTCTGGTAGATTGTTTTTAAACAAATACAGGAAAGAGCCTCCAGAGGTGTTTTTACTTATTATGCACTTCTATGCACATTTCTAATTTTTACCTAATTTTATTATTCTTGACTGTATCTTTAAAAAGATGCCTATATTTTATTTTTTTAACCATATTTATATGTTCATATACACTTTTCCAACTTTCTGGTATTCAACATTTATTTTTTTTGTTTTTAGTTTCTATTTTCTTTTACCTGAATTCCTTTGAGTTATTTTATGCATTCCTTCCTAACTTCTTTTTTTTAAGTTGCCTAATTAGTCCATGTATTTGAATAAATAAGAGTATTTAATGCAATAGATTGCCTGTGAGCACAGCTTTGGTTATACTACATTAATATTTATACCCTGGGTTCCCATTATACTGTAATAATTTACTATCAATTGAAAAAAAGATTTATCAAAAACCAACTTAATGTATCAACCTGTAACACATGATTTTGAGAGCCTCAAAGTTGATTCTCCTTTCTTTGCTTCCAGGTCACTTCAGAGTCTTCCCTTCCTTATGGTTCAATGCACCAAGCAAATGGCTCTGTTGCAACTGAATTTGTGTTGCTGGGACTTACACAATCCTCGGGAATGCAGTTTTTCCTTTTTCTTTTCTTCTCTTTATTCTATGTGGGAATTATCTTGGGAAACCTCTTCATTGTGTTCACAGTGATTTTTAATTCTCACTTACATTCCCCCATGTATATTCTTCTGGCCAACTTATCACTCCTGGGCCTTTCATCCACCACAATTTGTAGGATGATCTCTGATCTTTTCAGTGATTGTAAAAGCATTTCCTTCCACAACTGCATGATACAAATGTTCTTCATTCACATCATGGGAGGAGTTGAAATGGTGCTGCTCATTAGCCATGGCACACGACAGGTACACAGCTATCTGCAAGCCTCTCCACTATCTCACGATCATGAATCCCAATATGTGCGTAGTTTTGGTACTAGCTGCTTGGACCATTGGTGTGATTCATGCTGTGTCTCAGTTTGTTTTTGTCATAAATTTACCTTTCTGTGGCCCTAATAACATGGGGAGCTTTTACTGTGACTTTCCTAGGGTTATTAAACTTGCATGCATAGACACTTACAGACTAGAATTTGTGGTCACTGCCAACAGTGGCCTCATATCTATGGGCACTTTCTTTTTCTTAATTGTATCATACATCTTTATTCTGGTCACTGTCAGAAATCATTCTTCAAAGGATTTATCCAAAGCGTTCTTCACTTTGTCGGCTCACATCACTGTAGTGGTTTTGTTTTTTGCTCCATGCATGTTTCTCTATGTGTGGCCTTTCCCTACAAAGTCACTGGATACATTTTTTGCCATTGTGAACTTTGTTGTCACTCCTGTCTTAAATCCTGCCATCTATACTTTAAGAAATAAAGATATGAAAATGGCAATGAGAAGGCTAAGTGGACAGGTTGTAAGTTCTAGGGAGATAACAGATTTCACTGGTAAGAACACAAGATGAATTTCATGGACCATCAGTTCCCTGAGAATACCATGAACATTATGGAATGTGGACAATTTCATTATTACCTTTAAAAACCTGACAAGTCTACAGAAAAAGAGGTATTAAATTAAAGATTTTCACTATCAAGTACAGTTGTATCAATTTTTGTTAATTATAAAGAGTAAAGTGTTATATGTCTCTATCTAACCTACAAACCTAAATTACAGTTATCACTGACCACATTCAATTTTCATATGATTGTTCTATATCTCTATATAAATGTACATAAATACATATATATGATTTCGTTTTATTTATCAGTATATTATACTAATAATAAGCATCACTGGAAATCATTAAAAATTTCTTATAGAAATTATGTGTATCCTATGGATAAAATATGAGTTTCTATAAACCATAAGACATCAAAATTGAAGAAGAAACCAATCTCATCCTAATTGTATTTTAAGTTAGGTAAATAGAAAGACAACACTATGTTATGACTCCTAAGAATTTTTTTCGGTCTTTGTCAGTGTATTGCGTACAATGTTATTTTTAAAAAGACTAATAATCTTCATTATGCAAAATCTGCCTATGTTCCGTTTTTCTGAACAATAAATTTGTTGCATTTGCAATCTTCCCCAAAGCATTTGTTGATTCACTCTAAACAAGTGTCTATAACTCTCAAGGTATTTGAAAGGACTTAACAAAGGTACCCCACTCAGATCTCAGCTTTTTTAATGTACCTGTTCTTGAGTCAGGGTGCTTAGGACAAACATGAAAGACATACTTCAGGTAAAACTGGGAAAGACAGATGGTCAAGGAGCACAGCTGAGAAATCACTTGGATGTACTTCTATGATTTAAGAAGCATTAATTGTGATGACATCTCAATATTAACTTCTGCATGGTAATTAAAGCTGCTCAATAAAGTGTTAAATGATAAGATGTGAGATTTTCTTTTTATTGGTTTAAGTTTTTTTCCTACATTTTTTCCAAAATTGATTATCAGTGGTCATCCATCACCTTTTTAAGAAATCTAAAGCAATTGTTATTTACCACCTTGTTAACCCATCTAGATTTTTAATTTCACAATCTTACTTTATATAATTATTTTAAAATGATTCTTTATAAATTCCCCTATAGATTCAGTGAGGTAGTAAAAATAGCCAAGTGAGCTAAGAAACTGTGAAAACAGCTCTTAACTCAAGAAGATTCTGTGTGTTTCCTCAAGGGAAAGCTTGTGAGACTATAAGATTAGTCTCAGTACTTGAAGTTCAGGTTGTTTATTTCCAAATTTCCTCACCTGCCTCTGGCCACTTTTATAAATTGCTCTTAATTAACCAAGTGGTTTACTAAGGAGGAAAATTCATATAGACCTTATTCTCCTAGAAATTTTATGCTTCAAGAGAAAGTGCAAATAAAAGGGAAATCTGCACTCTTCTTTGCTCTGAAAATTGCCGTAGTCTCTTCCAGTTATGAAGGAGGTAGGTGGAAGGATGAAAGTGAAACGTATTAACAGAACTAAGCAAGTTGTACCATTTTATTGACAATGACATGCTTCTATGAGTAAGAACCCAGAATTCAACTGCATGTGTATCTTCAAGAAAAATGGAAGGACCCAGTGAAGTCAACTTAAATACTTAGAAGGGTTAATATGCATAATATTAACAAGGATTACCTTGTTGTATTATACAATTTAGTAAGTGTAATGCAAATGCTTTAAGTGTTGAGTTCTTCTCCCAGATCTTCTGGACTAATCTGGTCTTTCCTCTCTGTTTTGAGGGTCTTCTTTTTCATATTCCTCCAAATCCAGTATTCTCTTAACCACTTCTTTCCCTCCTTCCTGCATCCCCAGTGAAACCTAGTTTTGGACATTTCCTTCACCTAAAGGTGCAAATCATACTCTTAGAGTTGTGGGATTTTTTTTATAGAGCTTTTGATCCAATGAAATTATTTTAAACAGGAAAATTAAGGCCCAGAAATTTTGAATGGCATGCCCATCACACAGTGAATTTGTGTTAGAACTCCCAAGTCTCCTAACTTCAATCTCAGTGAAACTTATAAAGACATAAACTTCTTTTCTTAAAGGGGGGTAAAATATGTTTAAGAATCCATATAACATTCTGATAGTTGAAATTTAAGCTTAATCTAGTACATGGGGAAGAGTTTTGTTGTTCAGTTGTAGCTGGCTCTTCATGATTACTACAATCAATATGTAAGATTCTGGAGAACTTCTTCAACAAACCTAAAGTTAATGTTTAACTCTGAATCAACATAATTTTTCTAAAACTTTTTGAGTAATTTTTGAAGTCAGACATGACCTTTGAAAGGATTAAGGTGGTGAAGAGTGTCTGTGCTGAGAATCCCATATTATCACTCACTCCTCAGTAGCATATACTCAGGAAATCAGATGTCTTAACTACATGAGCAAGAAATTCCTTTTCCTGAAGAATAACACGTCTGAATTTTTACTTGTTACCATGATAAAAAATCTTTTCACTGCAAATGAGAATCCTTTGGCCAACCACCATCCTTGGTATATTCCTATGGAGATACAGGTGCAGATTTGTGCTTCTCTCCCAGTGAAATGAAATTAACAACAGTAAATATCTAAGGCCAATTCTAAATTGTGTACCTTAATTCTAAAGAAACATCCCAATCAATCATGTTGTAAATGATTTTACAATGGAAATCCCATCATCCTTACTGTCAGTGATTTGTATAATTATACTTATTATTGTGCTAAGCTAAAGGGAACTAAAACGACTATTTATGACCTTGTTTTACATTAGACTTCTCTCTATACTTGCAAATAAAATTAGAATTCTTATAATTTTATAGGATTTTTAAAATAGTAACTGGAGCTTAGTGGATAGAGCTAATGAATGGGATTCAGTATAATAAGGAGAAAAGTATAATTTCCAAGGGCAATGGATTAACTGCAATTAAGGAAATAGTGAAGAAAAAAAATGCTTCTTGCCCAAGAAGGTTGGTAAGAGTAGCCCTCTAGCCCTTCATGTCCCCTGGGACCCATCAATTTCTACTCCTCTCATTTGCATCTTGCTTTTCCTTTAACTTCTACACTTCATTCTACAGGCATGCTCAGGGCCATGCTTCCCTTCCAGGCTACCATTCCATTCTCTACTTCCCATACTGCAAAACTTCCTGAAAGAGTACTTACTTTCTCTCCACAGCACACAAGTGAAGTGGCTTTCTCAATTTAATGTCTAACACTCACTTTTCAGGCTCTCACCTAGCAAGTTACAAGGATGCCCCAACAATACCTCTACATACCTAGACACCTATCATTATCCTTTACATCCTTCCAAACTTATTCCTGCTCCTGAGAGTGAGCTGTATATTACATATTGCTATATTAGTGCTTACTATAATTATTTTCAAAAGTAAGCCATCACAATGCTTACAATTACTCAGAATAAAGACATTGGCATCATCTTTTTTCATCTCCTGCATCCTGGTAACAAATGTTCTGTTTTTACTGCCTTTATAATAGATAATATACATTGACTACTACTTGTTGTAAATGTATTAAACAATTGCTCATAATTCTTCAATAGTTCTTCATTGTCTTTATAATCAAACACAAATACCTTAGGAGACATTATAAAATTCTTTTTCAATTTTATCTTATTAAACTCCTTCACATTTTTAATCATGCAAATTTTTTTTGCATTTTCCTCACATTTTTTATTCCACTCTGAATACCCTTTCTTTTACCCTCTTTCTCATTTTTTTAAATCTTATTTTCTGTTACTTTATTTTTCTTCTGTTTTTCATCTTTTATTTTATTTTGGCTTATATTTTTTCTTCTAAGTATTTTAATACCACCAAATGAGAAGTATAAATTCCACCCTCTATAAGGCCTTATAACTCCTAGGTTCACTTTTAGAATCCTCAAAAATTTAAACTACATCTAAGGCTGAGTCTCTACATCTGTCTTAGCTTCTATGCTTCTATGCAAATTTCTGAGAGACTGTAAAAATTATTTTGGAATTGTGTCCTCATTCCCATAGAGTATTAATTAGACTGGTGGGGATTTTAAGAACTTTGATCCAATGTATTCACTTTAAAGATGGAAAGACAGAGGGATACAGGGACTGAGATGCAATCATCTCTTTATGATTGTCTTTTCTAGAGTACAATTAAAAATGAAATAATTGAGAAGCCATGGGTTCCCTATGAATCAGAAAGTGATAAATCTCACCATTAATATTTATCTAAATCTATTGTGCACTAATTACAAAAGCTATGCAAAACACTTTACATTTACTACATCATTTGAAATTCATAATCATCAGAAGTGAATATAATTAGTATCCACATTTACAAAAACGGTAAAATAACTCTTAAACTAGATGAATCCAAGGCCCACAGACTACATACAAAGCCCATGCACTTTAACTGCCTCACCTAGCAAAACTGTGAATGAGAATGTCTTAGTATGACAGAAAGTTTCCAACAACTATATACAGTAGTATGATAGACTACTAAGTTATGAAAAACGCCTTTTCAAAAATGCTTGTTATAAAAAGCCTTTGTAAATAGGAATATCATACAATATTGTATATATTTAAGAGTAATGATATTGATTACAGAATTTAAACTGTTTTGAAGTTCAGAGGAAAAGGAGATCAATGTAGGATAATGGTATACACTTAAGCTGGCAGAGAGGGTAGCACTAACAAAGGCATCTTATTAGGAATAAGCTTAGCATTAAGTGCAAACACTGAGAAGACATAGATAACTGGACTATAAGGCATAGCCAAGGGAGGAATGTAGAATAATATGGTGAGCTTAGCTTTTTTGCATTTTAAAAGGCTTTATGCAATAAATCACAGTGAGTCATATATGGGTGAGCGGCACGATACTAAATGAGGCTTTGAACTTCAATATAATCAATCTGATTTCCTCATTCTCTTCTCCAAGGCAACCACAGAGGCTATTTCCTGGAATGAACCAGTAAGTGAAACCAATCACTCCATGGTGACTGAGTTC